AATGATTAACAGCCGTCGATTAACTGATTAATCGTTTAAAAATCATTAAAATAAATTGTAATCATAAAATATGTACCAACTAAAAGAAATTGATTTAAGATTAATAAAGGACGATTATTTGCTTATAAATCGCAATAATAAAAAACCTGAAACTGAAAAGAGTAGCCTGATGATAAACAAAGGCTGATTAATTGATAAAGTATTGAGTTGTAATCAAAAAGTAAAAGCTGAAAAGTGTAGCTTATCGATTACCGATGGACGATTAATTGTGTAACCGTTTAAATTGTAATCATAACATCAATTGATAATATAACAACTAAAAAAATAGTTCAATGATCGATTAATGCCGATTAAATGTATAACCGATTAATTGTCTAATTGCTTAGAAATGAATTAAACCAACAAGAAAAGAGTTTTTGAAAAACAAATTAATGTATTTCTGTTGTTGGAATAGAAAATAGGTTCATTCTTTGGCAGCCAATTGGAGCCCATGGTACTTTTTCCCTTCAAATTGACTGTAATACAATAAAATTATAAAAAGTTACCTCGCAGGCAAATAATCTTTCTATTTAACAAGTTCAACATGAAAATGAAATCTCACTGAGGCTTAGAAAACCAACGTTTTCCTTAGAATTGTTCTAAGTTAAGAAATATGACAAATTTGAGCATCGATTTGTCTGTCTGACTGTTTATTTATTTATTTTTAGCAATTTTTTATGCCATGTCTGCTCGTCTGTCTGGATGAACGCCTGGATTTCGCTGACGTTTGAGTCTAAAGCCACCAAACTTGATATGCAGACTCTCCTAATATCCATGCAACGCGAGTTTATTTATTTATTTATTTTTTTTTGATTTGGGTGAAAAGGAAAGGAAACAATTGAAATTAAGAGCAACATACTTTTATGGCTCACATTTCTGTTATGCTGTTTGTGCCACAAATAAGCAAATTTAATGCTCTTACATGTATTTGGCAACATATTGAAGTGTGATTTGTTTAGATAACTTGTGTTTACACTTTTGCTTTTCAACGAATTATGGGATATTGACAAAACTGATACTGCATGTTCCACACATATAAGTGGTGATGAAAACGGGGATTTACATATATGCGTATACGTGTACATTAATCTTAGTTTGAAGCTGTTCCCGGTTGCTTCCAACTCATAACCAACAGTTTAGCAAGCTACCGATTATCGTGGAGAACTTTTATCGCAGCCAACTTATGCCTCAACAAGCTGCTTTCCTATGCATGACGACATCGAACTTTGTCGTTGCTCATCAATTTCGCAGCAATCTACATAAGCCTTACTAAGTAAGGAGCTGCCGAGCGGTTTATCCGTTTCCGGGCGAGCAGATACTCGTATGGCAAAAGCCAAAGGCATCCTGCGGCCTGTTAGTGAAGAGAACGAAATGCTGCATTTACAAAATAAATAAATAAATAAATACAAAAAATGCGCATGTCATGCCCACAGAATAATTGGCCCTAAGCTGCCGATCGGCCAGCAGTTGCCCGGCGGCTCAGCTAAACTCAAACAAATTGCTTGTAACGTCTTGGACTTCTAGTTCCAAAGCACAGTGGTTCAAATGATCAGGTTTTCTATTTGAATGTTAAACATCTGTCTGTATGTACGCATAGATCTGAAAAAGTATAAAAGCTAGATTCACCAAACTTCTCAGGCTGATTCACTAATAATAAATGTATGACAAGTTAATGTTCCCCATTTGAATGTAAAAGATTATGATCGATTAGCCGTTGTCCGTCTGTCTGTATGTACGCATAGATCTGGAAAAGTATAAATACTAGATTCACAAAACTTCTCATGCTGATTCATTAATATTTGATGTATCCTGTAAACTGAAAATATTTCCCATTTCTAGGTAAGACACTATGCTTTATATAAATATTCCCGATCTATCGATTGTCCGTCTGTCTGTGCGAACGCATAGAGCTTGAATATTTGTTGTTGTTTTTCTGAATCTTTGAAGGAGAACAAATCAAAGAAAAGCCGAATCTTTAAATAATTTTTTAAGTTTTTCTGTTTAGCCTCTTCAAATTAAATGAATGCCTAAGCACTGTGCGCTCGGCGGGCACTTCATTTGAATGTTATTTGTGAGCTGTGTTGTTTGTTGTTGTGTTTAGTTTTTGAATAAGATGCCGCGCCTCCATTCGCTTTTGTTGTAATTCAACGAAATCGCTTGGCTGAGCCTTTTTCAGTTCTCTCTCCTGTTTGTTTTTGTTTCCATTTCCATGTTGCCACACACATAAATATATTATGTATGCACAAGGAGGATGGACATGGGTGTGTGTGTGTGTGTGTGTGTGTGTGTGTGTGTGTGTGTGTGTGTGTGTGTGTGTGTGTGTGTGTGTGTGTGTGTGTGGGTGTGTGGGTGTGGGTGGTTGAGTGTACTGAACTTTTTCCTGCGCGTGAATTATGAAACGAATTATGATGGACAGAGCACATCCTGTCCTTCTAATTAGGTCTTAAGCTAAAGAGCCGCCTTGGGTGACATCTTTGTCGTCGTTCTTCTCCTCCTCCTCACACGTCGTGTCGCCTCCTTTACTTACATCTACATGTGGGCACGTGTACAACAACAACAACAACAGCAATAACAAGAATAACAACAGCAATACCTATGCATAAACTATACCGAGCTGGTCACTGATGTGAGGCTTACATTGTTCATACAAGTATAGTCTGTACGAGTACTTGAGTATGGGTAAATAGTCTTTGCCTCTTGTTGTGCTCCGTCATTCCACTGCCAACAAATATTTAACTCCACCTGCATTTTTCCACAATTAGTTGGCATACTTCTATGCAACCCTTTGTCAGTTCCAGACCCAGATACACCCATAAAGAAGGTTCCATAACTTTACTCTTGTAAGCCAGCATAAACTTCAGATAGAAAAACAATTGTCGCTTAATTCTGTACCCGAAAGCTTATACACGCTTTTAAATCACAGCTAAGTCGATTGTTCCTATTGCAAGTACTATACTTATATGATATAAATCTATTGTTCCTATGGCAGCCATATGATATAAATCTATTGTTCCTATGGCAGCTATATGATATAATTCTATTGTTCCTATATGATATAGTCGCCCAATTCGACTGGTGCTTTACAATACGTTGGTTACCCGAGGAAACTTTCTTTCTTTCTATCCAATTGGGTCTCGAAAAGTATTTTCATTACAGTTGATCGATCCTATAACAACTATAACGTCTAGTATTTCGATTTAACATCATTGGTTATCTCAACAAACTTCCGAATTTCTGTCTGGTTGCAATATCTTTAGAAAAGTTGTTGATGCAAAGAGTTCCTATAATGGAATAGGTAGCTTAAAGAACAAAGAAGTAACTGCAAAATCGGACAACTATATGTTGTCTGATCTGTCCCATTTTCCCTAATGATGTGCCTGCAAACAAAAAAAGGAGCAACTCATCCTGCTAATAATTTATTTACCCACAACACGGGGTCTGTCACGCCTCCTTCTGGGCTCTACAAATATTAGACTAAATGCAGATACCCTCGGCAAGGGCTTACAAAGCAAAATGGGCGGCTTAAGCCCGCGGCTCCTGAACCCGCCTGCCCGCTTTATAACGTGGCCAACGTTCAGGCGGAAGTGCTTCCTACTCGAAAGCCTTTCGACTAAAGCGGCTGCAGCTTAGCGACGTGTCAGTGCTGAGAACGGTCGTGGCCTTAACCCGGTCGAGTCCTTGTCCCCACTCCCACCTGCACACGTTCAGACTGCTATCTACCTCCGACCAACAATCCTGGTGCGCCAAAAACCCGTGCAAAGCTCGTTTTAATGAGTCGATTTAAAAGTTTGCGGACGGCTGAGCAGCGGCTAAAAATAGCTGCTAACCGGGCTAAAAACTGATGCTAAGGCCAACGCTCAGAAAGCAATAATAATACCCAGTTATTACAAAAAAGAAGTTCTGTCCTAACATATGGCTTATGTGATTGATAGATTTGTTTATATAGTTTTTTAAAATTTTCGGTATTTCGATAAGGTTTTAAATTTATGTTTTTTCCCCTCTCTGAACTGAACTACAAGTACAATATTCACTTTGTGGAAGCATGCCCGAATGATAGTTATAGTAAAGGTTTCAATTGAGTGGGTCTCAAATTTTTTCCTCACCCTGTTAAAATATGCAAAGCATATAAAAATATATAAGAAAATTCCACTTATACCGAAATAAATGAAAGTTTGTTCTGATAATCAACGGGCTGTAAAGAATATACGATTCGGGTATTGTAGTGTTTCACTTATCAGCAAACTACTACTAGGAATTTGTTGCATAGGAATAAGATCTTCAAAAACATTTAATTTCTTAAAATTCTGCTTATTTGGAGGTGATTCTATCTTCTTGGTATGTCACCCCAGTTTTATATTTCTATTCCACTTTCTATAATGAAAATATTACCTTAAATTGAATTCGAATCAATTATTTACCACTCTCAAAATATTTGAAGTGAATGAGGTTTGAAAGAAATCCAGAAATTAAAGAACTTTCATTTTCAATAATCAACTCAAGTTGTCAATCGGGGCTCAGTAAGTCCCATGGGAAGGGCTATCAACAAAATTTTTAGGGATCACAAATTAAATTTAATGTCTCAAGTTCACTTTATAGATTATGTTAAGGCTGTAAGCATTTCTTGTGTTAATTTGTTGTATTAATCAATACAAGTAGTACATTATTATTAATAAAACAAAATCATAGATAAATTATTGGCAGCGATTAATTATTGGTTAATTATTTAATTAACGGCTGTTTCAACGAACGTAAGATTAAAACAAAAACGTCAATTAACGAAATAGCGAAGCTTTCATCGAAAGTATTAGGAGAAAAATATATCGATTAATTGAAACAACGGAGTTTTCATCGATCACTCAAATATGAGCATATTTCACATTTAAAAACAGAACCAAAGTAGAAACAAATAACACAAGAGAGTGTGTAAGAGAGAGAGAGAGAGAAAGGAGATTGCAACATACCCGTCAGCATAGAGGCCTGTGGCGCCTCCGCTGCCAGTCATGGCAAGCGCCTTGTAGCGCGCCTGCTCATCCGTGGGGAGGACAATGTCGACGGAACGGGAGCGAGTGGCATTGATGTTCGGTACGGTGAGGAAACAGCCATCCTCGCTGGGCTGCAACTCCTCGGTCTTGCCACCCGAAGATACCTTCGAGAAGCACGAGTCCACAGAGGCGGCGCGATCCCGCTTCAGATCCGGAACGGTCAAATAGATGTCCCTAACGACGAACGCATGATGCGGTGCCCCACCGGTGGCTGCGGCAGCAGCAGCCGCTGCTGCCATAGGTGAGCCACAGGTGGCCATGTTAGAGGCCTCATCCATTGAATCGGCCGTGTCCACCGATGATTTCGTAGTGTCCACCTCCTCGTGCGACACATTCTCCAAAGAATTGCCAGTGGGCTCCACAAATATGGCCTCCTGCCGGGAGATGGAGCGACGCCTCGGACGCAGCATGGTCGGCGAAAGTGGTGGTGCACCCATTCCCAAAGCGATCGCATCGTCGGCATCAGCGCTGGCGCAGGCTGTGCCTGCAGCGCCTCCGGGCGAGCTGATCGAGGGCAGGGAGAGTGCGGCTGCCGCAGCCGTTGCTGTGGCGCCCAAATGATCCATCAAGCCGGCGGCGCTGGAGGTGCTGGGGCCGGAGCCGGGCGGTAGTTCGAGTACGGGACTGCCACAAACTGATAGCGAGAAGGAGGGCGAGGCGGGTGGAGTGCCCGGATCGATGGGTAAGACATAGGGAAAGGGTGGGTAATCGCCATTGGTGGGTGATAGGGTGAAGGTGATGCCACAGGGGGTTGTTGGCTGCGGGGGCAGCAGCGTGTTGCCAAAATGCGGCGAGCCGTGCTCCGACTCCTCGAGACCTTCGTCCTCCGAGGTGGTGACCGAACTGCCGATGGTATGGCGGCGCATTTGACGCGGCAACCGGGCACGGGACTCTTCAATGCTGCTGCCCATGCTTATGCCCATGCTGAGATTGGTCATGCGTATGTCCATTTCAACGGCTGCATCATCATCGTCCTCCGGGACGCTGCTATCGCGCACAACTTGTGCTTCTGCACCGTCCTCATCCTCGTCCTCCAGTGCCTCGGTTATGTCCTCGCACTCGTCGGCATCCTCGCTAACCTCCGAGCTGGTGTTGCTATAGCTGAGGGTTGTTAGCTCCCGATGATCAATGAAGTAACGCTGCTCGGCGCTCATTTGCTTCTCGTACTGCTCCACATAATAGCAATGGATGCACGGCGGCGGCGTCTTGGTAGACGAGCTGCGACGCGCCTTAAGCCGACGTGGCACCTCGAGAAACGTGCCGGAATCATCGCTTCCCACCGATGCGGCAGCCGAGTCGAAGCTGTGCGAGCGCTGCGCATGCGCAGCCTGCGGTACCTGCAGATAGCCGCCCTCCGAGGACCGTTCGTCTGCCGAAGAGGACGACTGCTGCTTCAGCAGGTGTGCCGAGACGCGTTGCGCCTCCAACTGCATTTCATCAAAGGAGGCCGAGCGCACCTGCAGCGCAAAAAAAAAAAAACAATAATGAAGAGAGAAAGAGAGAGAGCGCCATCCTTCAGTAAATCAGAGAACAAAGTGACAAACGAACAACAAACGATGCATGCAAGCAACAGAAATTGAAGTGGGGGCGGGCACATGTCCTTCGCTGGGCGTAACATGAAAGCTGTGCGTGTGGGTTAAGGCATATGGTGGGCGGATTGGGCGCAGGGCGGAGTCGAGAACAACACAAAAGCAACACAAAAGACGAAACAGGAATGTAAAAAAAACTAGGTTTCAAAACATGCAGGTGGGCAAAATATTATCGATAGATTTACCAAAATCTATCGATATGAGCCGCTTTTTGGCTTTCAATTAAATATACATACATCACTATAATTTTGACAACAACAAAATCATCATTAGATTTAATTCTGTTATCGATGAATAAAATAAAATTAAGTTTTATTTTGCGCTGATAAAAAATAATTAGCAACAAAATAAACTAACAATAATCGATTGATAAAGGATATGCTCCTAATGAAGATGGCTCTAATCAGTAATCAGTAATAAGAAGTCAAGTACTCTTAATTTTGCATATCTTGGCTCTAATAAGTTATAACAGCGATAAGTAAACGATGCAACTATCGATAAATTCCATATGGCGTAAACGAAGAAGCTGTTTTTATGCCATTGGTAGCTGGCTTATATAACTAATAAATGAGAGCTTAGTAGGGAAAAATTTTAACGATAAGTTCGATATACTTGTACATATAACTCTTTTTGTTTTGGCTTGAAAAGAAACGGTCTGATATTGAGTTAATGTAATCGATTGTTAATGATAGTTAAAGAATTAATGTTAATGTTAACCTCATACTATCGATAGTTGCGGAACTAGCGTCAACATTAACTTTGTGTTAAAGATCGCTGAAGAACAAACGCTTATATGAAGCTATGCTATCGATTATTGCATTATCGATTGCAAGATTAACGTTACAAGAACGTGTTAGCTGCTTACGAAATGGAAACCAATTTCAAATATTATCGTACCGCTGTCGGCTGTATAGGTCGATAACATGGCTTATCGATGCATTTTTTCGTAAAATTGGAACACACATATAAAAACCAATAGGAACCACAGCAGCGAGTAAACAAAAGAAAACAAAAAGCGGTGCACAACACAGAGAGAGAGAGAGAGAGAGAGAGAGAGAGAGAGAGAGATGGAAGAAAACATGCAACTTCCATTCACTGCACGATATACAAATAAAAAGAGTATTGTGCGTGTGCGTGCTATCGCTATCGATAACCGGTGGCTAACCTGTTTAGGAACTTCAAGACTATTCTGCATTTTCATTTCGGCTCCGGTTGGTGTGCGCGAACGCGTGAATGTTGTACGTAGTCGTTGCATCTTGTTGATATTATTTTGTCTTCTTCTGCCTGATTCGCGAGATCCTGAATTCCTCCTTTCTTTGGGGGGCTTAGTTGTTGCTGTTGTTGTTGTTGTTGTTAGTAAATTGTTTCTGAGCAGCTGCTCTATGGACGGTCGTTGTAGTTTCTGTTTTAGCTGTTTTAGCTGTTCTTGTTGTTGTTGTTGTTGTTGTAAGTCTGGCTATTGGATTTGTCACGGCTGGTTGGTTTGTTGTAAAGCAGGTTGTTGTTTTATTGGTTTTTCTTGCTGTTGTTGTTGTTGTTGCTGTTGCTGCTGGTATTGCTGCGTTGCAGCCTCCTGTTGTTGTTGACGATGTTGTTGCTGCTATTGCGGCTTCTTCTACTGTTTGTTGAAGTTGTTGTTGTTGCTGCTGTTGCTGGTGCTGTTGCTTTAGCTGCCACAGTTCGTCGTTGTTGCTGTAGATTGTGGATTGATTTGTATTTGTATTTGTTATATTCTGTGAATTGCTGTTGTTGTTGTAGAAACTGTTATTATTGTTGTTGCTGTTGGTGCTGTAGCTGGCTAAATGCTTATCAATTCCGATGCTTAATTCCATTTCGCTGATTTGCTGCAATCCTCACACACACCCATGCATTTGGCAGGCCACACCATGCAATAGAATATCGAGCGTTTCGCACGCGTTTTTTAAATTACTTCTATTTTTTTGGACGCTTTACTTTTGTTTGTTGTAAATTGGTAGCGTTTTGCTGGCGGTTTTAATCGCCTGTTGTTCAAAGCACTGTCAGCAAAATTTCAACGCTTGACATCTTTTTTAAAATATATATTTTTTAATTAAAAATTTGTTTTGCCTCTTCAGTGATTGTTGTTTATGAATGCAAATTATGTGTTGTTGTCTAGAGATGAGATTTCAGTTGTTTTTTTTTTATTTTTATTTTTTATTAGATACCGTGATGGGAGGTAGAAAAAGGGACGAAAAAGAGAACAAGAATTTATGGCGTTAGTTTATATATTTTTTAGTAAAAAATTGCAAATTTCATTTAAATTTGTTTGCATATAAAATTAAATTGCAAACAATTTAGAAAACACACTCGCAACCACACACACACACACACTCACATACTTATACACCAACTATGTGGTGTTGTGCGATAAAATCGACATCTGTGATTTTATCCCAATGAATGCAAGGCAACTATATAAATAAATGTATACATTTCTTATATCTTATACACATGTTGATGCCACACAGTGCATCCGCAATTTGTTTAGGATATACACTGAGCTGTATTACTGCACCAATCGTTCCTATGACAGCCATATAATATAGTGTACTGATTTTAATATAACGTCAGGATATTACACAAAGCCTATAAGCCCCTCTTCTTAACAAGTTTGGCGTCCCTGTCTGTTGTGCTTCAAAAGTTCTTGAAGTTCATACAGTCGAACAGTTGAACGGACAGACAGACGCATAACTCTGTTGATTCGTTTCGTACTGCTGAGGATACAGTGTGCCTCCTTTTTCCTAGCAAGCCCTTCAGCCCCAGGGGTAGAGGGTGTAATAATCTCAGTTAACACTCTATAACTACAAGTATGAATGGATAAATCGCTGATTTTGTCACCAATAATATACACATGACAGCCACGATTTGCTGACAGAGCAGACAAATTTATTTCCATAAATTCTAGCACTGCTGCAGAAAAAGAAAAAAGAAATATCTTCTTTTTTTGTAGGTAGAGCTGCGCTTTGTTTTTTCGACAGCAGTCGCATAAACCACAACAACAGCAACATCGCTGACAACAAACATGTCGATGACGCGTCGTTGAGTGGCATCAACATTTGCGGCCACCTGATGTGAAAAACTACCAAGTTTTTCCCAATTGTTGTTGTTGTTGCTGTTGCTGTTGTATTTTATATCAAATGACGAACAAAAATGAATGAAAGAAAGAGCGAAACAAAAACCAAAACCGAACAACCAAAACGACAACTGAGCATACAAGTAGAACTAAATAAAAGGGCCTGTGGGAGGTGGGAGAGGGTGGAGAGTAGGAGGACCGGAGGGCAGGAGGCCAGGAGGGAGGTTAGGTTAGCAGTTAGGTGCGAGAGACAGCCTCCGACTCGTTTCGTTTCGGTTTCAGTTTACAGACAATGGGTGCCAGAATCTATTATGGCATACCTTAGGCATGTGCAGTACGCGACGACAAGGTCAGCTACACATACACATATATACATATATAGACACACACATACACACGAAGAAGACGCAGAAGGGATTGGACAATGGGTCTGCGGCTCGCAAATTGAAAGCGTGAAATTAAATGAAAATGATATAGCTTTGAAATTGAATTCCATAGAAATGCCAAAAGTTTTGACAATGCCCGTGCCTTGCCTTGGGTAAGCCAGCCAACCAGCCAAGTGACGCGTAGTTATTGCGGATTAAAGAGCTAGCAAGTCTTAAGTTGAGCCTAAAAAGCCATTGTCTTGGCGACCATAGAGCTCTATGTATAGAAGACTGTAAGCTGAATGTGAACTGAATGTAAATTTAAGTGCATTGCCTACTTTTGGGCGGCCTGTCAAACAATCTTTAAAGATATGAAAGGCATCTTTAGCATTCGCAGCTAATTGAAATGGACTTCTTCTTGAATACAAAACAGTAGTGTTCTATTTAACTGCGAGGTCTATACTCTCGCCTTCCAACACTGTCTTCTAGTCCCAAACAAAAGTGTGGGAGTAAGTGAAACTGCTAAACAGTTGTCTACAATTTCCTACAAAATCAAGACGACTCCAAAAGGCAATCAGATGGACTTCCAAATCGCTTTAAAGAAGGCTGTCTCATTAGTATACTTATTAACTGGCTATTAAGCTATTAAGGTTCAAAAGTTCTTGCAGTTCATACAGTGGAACGGACGGAGAGACCTACATCTCTATCGATTCGTTCCGTGGGCTCTGCCTGTTACATAAATTTGTAGTTTAGCCTTTCTAGAGTAATATATCCTTTTACGCTGCGGGTAAAGCGTTCAGAAACATTAATTCTTTCTCTTCGTAAATCGATGTAGTTTTCAAATATTTGCAATATTTTTTTTAAATTTAAATTTTTTTGAATTTTGTTGAAGTCATTATCCATCTAAGCACAACATATGTCGAGCATACACATTTAGTTATGTGTGTACTCGTATGTGGAAGAGACTGGCGTTGTTACCGCTCCATCCCCCCCACCAGGGCCTTATAATTGTTGAGCGTCCGGCTCACTAAGTAAAAAGTTTTGTATAATTTTTCATAAAAACAGCGGCGGCAAAAAAACAACAATAACAGCCAACAGTAAAATACTACGGAGGAACTACACAGAACGGAGCAGCGAGGGAAATGGTGCAACTGAACCTATTTAGTGAGGCAGCAGCACTCGTGGGGCCGAGCGCCAAGGAGCTATACAGTGTGGCGAGCAAGGGAGGGTGGAGGGCAGAGGAGCGGGATTCGAGTGTTGAGTGGCTTGTGCGTATGAGCAATGGCCTTATTATGTACCACATCGCTCATATGTATGTCCTTGTGCGGTACCCTGAATGGGAATTGAGCCTACTAGCAAGGGCAACGCTGTACAGTGGTTCAAAATTGTTGTTTTGCATTAACTGCATAGCTGCTTAAATATTATATTTTGGAAAAAATTTGTAATGGAATTTACAAACGGTTGGTAATTGTTTTCGGTGCAAATAATAAATTCAGTTTGATTTGCAGTTGACGGATGCAAAAGAAAGGAGAGTTGCCCCATTAATGAGTAGAATTTTCCACAATCACATTTAACGGGAACATCTTGATTTTAATGTTGTTTGTCGATAAGCCGCTTAGCTGAGAAGTCCAGGCAGGACGCGCCTAGAGAGGATTTTTTTGAAATGATCCGTTCACCTCAAAATGTTACTTCTTCTCTTTCCTATTATGCATTGCTTGTCCAGACAATAATTCCATTTTCGACACGTTTAGAGACACTGTGCGGCATTGCATTTTGCTTGCTTTTGAAAGCAAACAGTTGTTATACCCTGTTCCCGTAGGGTAAAAAGGGTATATTCGCGTTGTGCAAAGTATGTAACAGGCAGAAGAAATCATCTCCGACCCCATATATATTCTTGATCAGCGTGACATGTCCGTCCGTCTGTCTGAATGAACGTGTGGAGTTCGAAAACTGCTGATCGAACATTAACCAAACTTGTTTTGCAGACGCTCCTAGTCCCTAGTCTATACGAGTTTATTTTCCACATTTCAAAAAGTACATAACCAAATTTTTAGTCTAAATATAATTAACTACTTTTGTTTCAAATTCCAAATAAATCGGTCAGTTCTAAGAAAAGTTATTAGCGAATAAATTTCACTCCAGTACTACGAACACAAACTGCAGCATCAAGTTCGCTCTTCTTCTTCTTTTTGCTTCTACTAGAGGCGCATATACCTCAGTGTCGGAAGTTTACCTCGGTGCAGGGTATTCCACTGTCGGGCTTGCTCGACTGTAGCGTTCTCTCTCGTTTTTTTTTTCGTTTTTAGCTTATTTACGGTTGAATTAAGAGCGCTGAGCAATTGAAACCACTCGGAAAACTATTTTGTATATCTTGGGCCGGCAAACTCAATTTACAACTTCGGAAGGGTTTAATTGAGTTCTTTGTTTGTGGAGCGAGCGCCTACCCGCCTACCCCTCTTGAGGGGTGCGGGGGGAGGGTAGGGTTCGTTTGAAAAATGCGCCACCAAAGTTGGCCAAAGTAAACTTTTCACTTTGCCAGAACAAGAGCACAAGAACAAAGGGAAAGAAGCGCAAAAGGGGCCCGACAAAGCGAAAGCGAAAGCAAAAAAAAAAAAAAAAATAAAATGGACGCGAAGAAGGCGAGAAATCAGCGTAAGGAAATCAACTTGACAGTTGAATTATGGCCCAAAGAGGGGGTTCAGTGAACATTAATGGCCACTTGCTTCCAAAAATAAACGTAAATATCTGGAAGGTTATAATCGGTTGCGCCGAACCCATATGCTCTTCATTTCAGCTTGT